GGGCATTGTTAGTTAGCATCGAAGTACTATTAATAGTCTATAAAGTGTATATTAGGGTTTGAATAAACTTTGCAAGATACAAAGTAGGTAATCATAGCAAAGGTAAAAAGTTACAAGTACTTGGCTGTGGCCTAGGTGTAAATTATTAAAAACCTAGATAATACATATGTAGGACATGAACCGCTTTAGTAGGTTTATCATAAGGATAAAGTAGTTCTAAAGGACCTTAGCGGCAGTTCTTTTTTGAAGAAAATATCTAACAGTACTAAGTTAATCAGAAGGTTTAATTGGATAATTCAAATAATAGTAGGTTATAGATATAGCATTTAGTATAGAACCTAGTAATAGGTAAACTACTTAAATTAGATGCTTAAAAGGTGCAAGTATAGTTAAAATATACACTCGTTAATGTAACAAAGTCAGGGATAGCCCATGTAGTTGCCTTGACATTCGATTCAAAGTTTAATAAAATGTATTAGATTCCAAAGTGATCACCTTAATATTAAAAAAAAAAAGAGAACACAATATAGCAATCTTATTTTAAGATTTGATCATAGCCAAAGTGCAATTATATTGTGAAATATAAATATAATTAAGTAGTATTGACAAGATGAATAGTCATTAATCGATGACTAAAGAATAATAAATTCTTAGTAAGTTAAGGATTCAAAAAAAGGTCAAGAACTACTAAAGTAGGTTATATTTAGACAAAAGCTGTAGATAAATCTTTGATTTGGTTGAATTAGTAATAGCTATAGATAATAATATAAATTTCTAGAATAGCTTAAACTCAAATAAATAGAAGCAAGATTGCCAAATTATATAAAAAAAAAACTAAATTAATTCTTGTAATAGGCAAATCATAAGTCATCTAACAAAAAATTATTTTATATATAAATTTTACTATAAGTCCGAAAGTGAAGTATACCTATCTAAAACTTTTTTCTTACTAAGTAAATCACTTTTAGGCTTCTAACAATATTGTAAAGCTTATTAAAAAGCATCGAATAGTAGTAAGAATATTAAAATTAACTTAGTATTTCTTAAGAAATCTTTAAAAACTTTTTTACTAATATATAAAATTTCTTTAAAAAAATAAATTTTTTTTTAAAGAAATTTTATATCAGTAAAAGGGTTTTTAAAGATTTCTCAAGAACTACTAAGCTAATTTTAATGTTCTTATTACTATTAGATGCTTCTTGATAAGCTTTACAACTTTTGTTAAAAGCTTAAAAGTGATTTACTTAGTAAAAAAAAGTTTTAGATAGGTGTGCTCACTTTCAAACTTATAGTAAAATTTATATATACAAAAAAATTTTTTGTTTAGATATCTTATAATTTGCCTATTAATATCTTTTATCTTAATTCTAAAAAAATTAATAAAAATTTTTTTTTTTTCAGTATTAAGGTAACCTCTTGGTCGTCTCCTTTTATTCAATTATTGTTAACTTTTACAGTAAGGTATATATACCAAACCATATACATATTTGGAAAGTATAACTAGTCACATATGCAACTTTTGGTTGCCTATTTAAGTAAACACCCAGAAGGTTCTACACTAGTTGCCGTACCTATAACCCTACCAAGTTATCCATTTAAACACTCTGTGCCTATGTACATTAATCATCTAATCGAATGAGGATATGCAATACTTTTTTATTTTCAGACACCCGACTTAGAACTTTAAAGCAGGCTCTTATTGAACTCTTTATCCTCAAGGTAAACCTGCTAGAGCCTTCCGTACTTACAAATTCGGCTGACCTAAACTTTTGGTAACTTATACCGAGTCCGAGAACAAGTACTTGTGAGCTGAAGTCACTACCATTACCTACTACCGCCCTTGTAAAGTTCATTCAAACTCCAGCACCTACTATATAGACTATCCTCCATATACCTGTCATCTCAAACTTTCAATCCAGATGGCCCGGAAAGGCTATGATCCGCTCTTGGTTACTATAGTTGGATCCTTTTCCTCCGATTACTTTCCAGCGGCCTGGTTGGTAGAGTGCCTTGCCAAATACTTCAGTCCCATTCAGTTTTTCAGTTTCCTGGTTGATAATCCTTTACATAGTACTGTCGAAGATCTGTGCTACCTCTCTACTTGGGTCTTGCCAAGTGGGCTTCTATGTGCGCTGACCTTGAATTTACACAACTGCTTTACTTAGGTTTCATATAACTCGTACATTACACTATTGTTTCACAGTCTTCTAGTACGAGCTGATGTGACCTAGTTACAGATGTCGATCTGCTCTTACATTCACAGTTGCCGTAACACTGTACTAAGAATTTGAATTTTCGTCATGGTGAGATTCGAACTCTGTTCTTGCCACTTGAGGGTGCGACAACTTCACCACTTTACTAAATTGCCACACTCAATTAATAAAATTTTATTTTTTATTTTTTTACAAAAATTTGTATAATAATAATTCAATGTTTTTTTAAACTAATTAATAATTTTTTTATATATAATATTTAAATATTAAAATTTTTATTCAGCAACTCTTCATAACAATCCTCTAATCAACAACTTCAAACTGAACTATGAAAAAACATTATAGAAAATATCAAAATATTTAATAAAATTAGTTCTACACAAGTAGGTGTGTTGTTGACAAAGTATCAAGAATGTAAACTAAAAATGCAGACTACTTTGAACAGTTTTTGTAAAAACAAACTTTTCTGTAATAAACTCTTCTATTATATTTAGTATCTAAACCAGAAGAATATTCTGAGAATACAGAATAACTACAGTAAATTAATATTGAAAATATTAAAGACTTAGGTTATATTACAGAATCTTGACACTCAAAATCCCAATGCTTAAAATCCTGACAACAAAATCTCAAAACACAAAATCCTAACAAATTAAAATCCCAACAGCATTAAAATCCCAATATTCAAAATCCCGATATTCAAAATCTTGACACTTTCAAAATCTTTTGAAAGTGTCGAGATTTTGAATGTTAGGATTTTGAAAGTTGGGATTTTAATGCTGTTGGGATTTTAATTTGTCAAGATTTTATGTTTTGGAATTTTGTTGTCAGGAATTTAAGCGTTGGAATTTTGAGTGTCGGGATTCTATAGTATAACCAAAGACTTAAATTATTACTATACAACTATAAAACTTATAAAAAATAATTACAAAAAAGCTTTATTGACCCACTACTTTTTTTTGAATAAATTTTATTAAAAAGTAGGTGTCTTAGTTTACCTCCTTCAAAAGACTAATATATAAATTTACCAAAATAATTAATATTATTAATTTCATAATATAGATATTTATGTTATTTGTTTATTTTGTAAACTAGTAGACAAATATGCAGATAGTTACTCAAAATAGGAGATATCATATGGGTGAGTAAATGAAATGAGTAACTAAAACAATACAGTGATGATATGCCTTGATTTTTATGAACCATCAACAATACTTCAAGACTACTTTAAAAACTACTCTGTTTAGTTGAACTTGGTTTTTCTAATTTAGTTTATATTTTTTTCCTTTTAGGATAAAGTTAAATGCAGAGCTTCTTTATCTTGTAATATGTAATTTTTCTACGAGAAGATGTCATCAGATTGGTGATATCCTATTGTAAAGTAGTGGTCTGATAGTGCTTTCTGGGATAGATAAGTTTCTTTAAAATTTATTATGATATATCTTTTTAAATATATCTGCTCAGTACAGTCAGTTGCTTATAAATGCTTTTAGAAGTAACTGTGGAATGTCAAACCTTAATATTATATTCACTTAAATGTGCTTTTTGTTCACCGACAAATCGAACTTAATAAAGAATACAGTCTGACCTCGTTATAGTCACTCTTGATATTGTCACAACCTTGTTATAATCACACTATTTTTTTGACCGAGCTAATATAAAACATATAAATTTTGACCTTCGTGTAGTCACAACTTTTTATAATCACCAAAATTTTGTTTCCCAGCCTGGTGATTATATCGAGGTTAGACTGTATTGGCAAAATGGCCAAAATAAAAAAAAAAATATCAAGATTTCAAATATATACAGTAGTGTTGTTGACTGAAAGCCACTAGAAGACCACTGGAACTCCACTGAAAGCAAATTAATAATGTCACTGGAACTTTTACAAATTTCCACCGGAAGACTAGAAATTCTCACTGGAAGCGAAAATTAACAATACTGATATACAGTATATATATACTATTAAAGGCTTAGAGGCAATACCTCACCTTAACATAATAATAATAATCGTTAAAATTGGCCAATCAAATTATAATGCGATATATACGTGTATCGCAGGCTGCGATGCGTAGATTTATCCTTTTTTAAAAAGTGAAGTTACAGGTTAAGGAATAATATTAACTTTTGTTTCGGTATCCAACGCTTGAAAACTGCTTAATTATAAATTCTAACGTAGAATCTAGAATCAATTTCTTAAATTTTAAATATCGTCAAAAAGCCAGAAAATTAAAAGAATTAAAATAAGAGCCCATTTTAGTCTTAATCATGTCGTTACCTTTATCGTTATATAACTTATATTTATAAAATTTCTGGCATACAGTGAATGCTATTATTAATTTTTCCGTTCAGGTGCGAAATGGACTAAATTTCTAAATTGCGAGATATCTATTACCGTTACATGCATTACCATCAGATTAATAGGCTATTTAACTAGGCAACAAAAGAACATTTTTGTTTTATTATTATATTTTTTCTTACCGATAAATGTGAGTAATCGTCACTAAATAGTCCCCTTTTTTTTTCTACATAAGATCACTAAAAACAAAAAGGGACATATTATTTATCGAACTAACGCTAAACGTCATTTGTTTGTTAGATCAGATCTGAGAGTTGCGTGATGACACGTGATACATAGTACAAATTGTCTCAATCGATTATGACTCAGAACCGATCAATTTTTTTTCGTTTGAAAAAATTTTATAAGCTGATTTCTAAATTGCTTTATATCTTGTTTTTGCTTCCGGGGGTGTCCGTTACGATTGAGATTTATTTTAAGGACATAGAATGGAAGAACAGATAGAACAAGCTGTTGCCATCGCTTTGAGCCCCTCTTCGGATCATACTTTGAAAAGTCAGGTGTGTAACTCTTCTCAGTATAAGGATTGATTTATTCTTCGTTAAAGCTATTAATTGATCGAAGCTTTAAGAGTTCGTTTGAAGCTTTATTTTTATGGGTTGATGTCGAGAATTGATATATCCGGATTAATATTCTTGGTCTACTTTTAAGATTATTTCTGAATTTTCTTTCAATTCTGAAAATCAAATAAAAAAAGAATCAATTAAAATTTGAATACTTTTCTATTTTGTGGATTTGTTTAATTTATTAGTGTTAATTTTGAGCTTTGATCTTTACCATAAATCATGGCTGTAATGGGTTGCTGTGAGATCGATCTGAAATTAAAGATCTAATATAAAATCTAATATGTGTATGCCTATTATTCTTCTTGACTGTCCCTTATCATGATGCTACTTGGCGTTTACACGCGATACTATATAGGCTATGAACTTTTGTGAACAAGTAAAAGCATCCCCCGATGGTTGGCTATTATGTTTATTACTGTTCGTCCGATCCCCTAAAAGGTGTGTTCTCAAACGTTTATACTGCTCCTTTCATTTGTCTTGAATACTTGACAATTTCTTGACTTTTTAAGATTAGGCAGATTTTTTTTTTTTTTTTTTTTTGTAACTTACTTTTTATTAACATCACAGTCACCTTCCACCTCCCCTATTTTAAATTATATGTGTTTATGCTATACATCATATAATATTCAGTGCTCCTGAAGCTCGGTTATTTGCTTTACAAGTTGTAGACGAGGTTCTGAAAAATGGGTAATTATCGACACTAAATTATCAATATTATATCTTGTTGCTGTCATGAACATTATTTAAGTCTGATCTGGTTTATTAGATCTCTTGACACATCACAGCTCCTCCAAATTCGAACTACATTAATTGAGTTCGTTAAGCGAGAATATGTTCTCGAAGAAGTTAACGGTGTAGAATTTAGTTCCGAACCGCAATGTCAGTATTCATTTTGGCTTAATCATTAATAGCTAATTTTACCCTTCACTGACTATATATATATTTATATGATGAATCTTCCTTTTATCTATAGATCTGAAAAATAAATTTTCACATACCTTAACATTACTCTTCGTACAATTATATCCGTCATTATGGCCAGATTTCTTTGATGAATTTTTGGCATTACTTCAAATTAATCCTATAAATGGTAGCAAAACCAACGTCCGTACAATAGATATATTTCTGAGAATATTAATGTCAATTGATGAAGAAGTAGTGAATTTGTCTGTTCCTAGGAAAAAAGAGGATGCACAAAGAAATACGTCCATTGTAAGCTTTTGTTTATTTTCCCCATTCATTTTTTACAACTCGATAGCATTCCTAATTAATTTACTTATTTGTACCTTATAATCCTTTCTCTTTATTATTTTACTGTTTAATGCTCATTAATTGATTATATAATTGCGTTCGGTATATTTGTTAGAAAGACTTTATGAGGAGAAATGATGTTCAAAAACTTGCAACGGCTTGGTATGACATTTTGAAAGACTATTGCACTCGAAATCAAGATGTAGCTGAAATGTGTTTAAAAATAGTTGGGCTATATATTTGTGCGTCTATTTTTTTTTTCTTTTAAATTCATAAATTTACATGTCATTTATATAAATCAAAATTTCATGTATTTATAATCAGCCTGGATTGATATCTCTTTGATTGTAAATGAGTCGTTCATTACACTTATATATCAATTATTAGGAGAGTTAAGACTTCGAATTGCAGCTTGTGAATGTTTGGCTGAAGTATATATTTATATTTAATTATACCGCCAATTTTGGTTTATTTTAAATAATGCCACTTTATATTCTAGATTGTATGTAAAGGAATGAAACCCTTAGACAAATTTGAACTGATTCAAGTCTTGAATCTAGCAGATGTCATGAGACGTTTAGATCTCGTAAGTAATCTTTTCGTAAATTCTCAACTTTTTGCGGATATAAATGTTGATATTCACCCTCATAAAACCATAAGTCGGACGATATAGACTTTGTAGAACAAGTCGCTAGGCTTACTAATGTTCTTGGCGTAGAATTATGCAAAATATGGGAAGAAGTAAGTTACAACTATTGGCTTTCCATTTTTACTATTATTTCAATCTTTTAAATTATTCCTAATTTCATTCAAGGTGGATTCCGAAACAAAACCTGTTGTATATGTTCAAATAGAACTCTTACTGCAATTTCTATTGAAATTTTTGGCTGACGAATACGATGATACTTCTTGTGCTGTATTTCCTTTCGTATCAGCATTGCAAACAGTGTTAAAAAGGCAGAAAAATTTCTCTGGCGCATTAACTGGGTCACAAAGAGAATTTATGGATTCGTTACTAAAAGTGGTAGTTCTCAAAATGAAATACGATGACGAAACAGATTGGGGTGGAACGGAAGACGGAGCAGAAGATGCTGCAGAATTTTTGGAGATGCGTAAGGTAACAAATGTGGCAGATAAATGTGTATTGGTGTATATTACGGTATTGATTACTTTATATGCAAAATTTCCAGAATCTAAAATCATTTTTTGAAGCGATTTATCACATCGACGCACAATTGTTTACAACATATATTCGTTTGGCTGTGGTTAGTACTTTGGAAAATTATGCAAAATTAGGAAATGCGCTTGATTGGCGTGAACTAGAATTAGCATTGTACTTGTTACATTTATACGGGGAAGCAATTAAAGGAAAAGTTCAGTTTGTGGAGAAGCATAACAATGAAATTACAGCATATACTCCTTTAGGGGAAATGATGAATCAAATGATTCAATGTGGCAAGTATTCATACAAATATTTATAAATGCACAGAATTTATATTAATATACTAAATTTTTCCAATAGATGTTTCTTCATATTCACATCCAGCCATTACCCTGAATTTTTTTGAAAATATTTCTCGCTATTCTCAATTTTTTGAGATACAACCTGATTGTATCCCTCCGGTACTTGGGGCGTTTGTGGATATACGTGGTCTACATAATCCAAATACAACAATTCGTCATCGATCCTGGTATCTTTTTCATCGATTTATAAAGTTGCTGAAGTCAAAAATGGATAAATATGTTAACACTGTATTGGGAAGCATTCAGGTTGTGTTTCTTTTCTTTACAAGGATTTCACTGCTAAATTGGATTTATCTTATCAAATATAAATAACTAATATTTATTGGCTTTTTTTTATTAGGATTTATTGATCATACAAGCTGTAATTGAACCCTCTGATATATCTGCGGACAGTAATCCTTTGACAAAAGATAAAGCAATGGAAAGTGGATTTAGCGAGCAGATATTCCTTTTTGAAACTGTTGGTATATTAATCACAGCCGAATGTATTCCTCCGGATAATCAAATGGAATTTGCAAAAGTATTTTCAACATATTGGGTTTTTGTCTTTAGCTGTTGTCAAAATATTCACCCTCATTTCGTGACAGGCCGTATTTAACCCTTTAATGGAAGAAATACAACGCTATATACAAATCTGTACAGAATCACCCGAACACATAGATCCTCGTTCAATACTTCAATTGCATCACTTGATAATGGCTATTGGTAGCATTGGAAAAGGTTGTTTACCTTTGATTTGATAATGATAGCTCTATTGCGTTCATTAATTGCTCATTTATCTCTGCGTCATATAGGATTCCCTGAAGCTCCCAAAGGATCTCATCCAACTATTCCATGGGTTGGAATTCTAAAACAGGCTACTGAAATTGTTCTTGCAGTGCTTAAAATTTTGAACAGATACGAAATTATCAGGGATGCTGTATGTTTCAAAGTAAATTATTAGTAATGACTTGGCATAATTTGTAATAAATTTAAATGAAATTATTCTATATGCAGGCAAGGTATACCTTTGCACGGCTTGTTAGTGTGCTTGGCACGGAGATATTGCCATATCTTCCTTTATTAATTAATGAATTGCTTACTGAGTGTGGAATTTCAGAATTAGTGGATTTTCTCCCATTTATTGGACTTTTAGCTCATAAATTCAAGGTAAGCTGTTATTAATCATTTATTGTTCAAATTCTTTAACTAATCTATTGTATTAATTAATTAATTAATTAATTAATTAGCCTTCGATATTTAATATTTTAAATGAGCTAATCATTCTCTTGGTCGATAAAGTTTTCCATTTCCTGAATCAAACTCCATCCGGAACGGACGATGCACTTTTGTTGATAGATCTTCGAAAAGCCTATCTAAACTTCATTTTAGGATTGTTAAACAATGAAATGGATGCAGTTTTCGTCAGCGAATGTAATATTTTTTTATTTGTGTTTTAACAATTAGCCTATTAATCTAAAATTATAATCAAATATTGTTTAGTGAATCAGCCACGTCTAGAAAGCATACTTCAAAGTGTAGTACATTATGCCAGTGATCCCTCGGATATTCCATCGATGAAGATAGCTTTTAGCATCCTTTCGAAAGCGCTGACACTATGGGGTGGCCAGTACCTGGCGATGAGTGCATTATATGAACACATATTGCGTATTTGTTTCGAAGTTCCGTTTAAGTCGTCATTCAACGTGAACGACGGTCAATCACTAACGGTAAACATTTGATAAATTTATTTATTACTAATGCTAACTTTTAAAATTAATTTTAAGCTTTGACATTATTTTATTAGGTTTTAAATGAAATATCAAAGATATTGAAAATAATGCTTTCACAAAGGGGAGATGGTTTTCTTGAATATCTCAGGAGCGTATGGACCATTTGGCAGCTACGACCAGATCTTCTTGATGATTTCCTACGAACCTTACAGCAATTAGAATTAAAAGCATTTCAGAAATATTTCCAGGTATCTGGAGTATTTTATTAATAATTTAAATGAACGACATTTACTTATATTTACTTATTTTTACTTTAATTATGTCTCATAGCAATTCGTTAAAAGATCAAAGTCATGAAGTATATTTCATAGAATTGTTAAACAACTTTAATATATGTTAATTGGCTGGAACTGAAATTGTAGGTTTAGTTAAACAGACATTTTTTAGTAGCAGTTTTACTTGGAATTTTGATCATTCATTTGCGTGTTAATAAACCCATTCTGTAAAATAAATAACTGCTATAAAATATAAAATTTAGAATTATTTAAAAAAATATTTTTTTTTTCCTAGCGATTTATGCATTAGTTTAAGTTATAGCCATCTGAAACAGTGAACTTGGCACGCATAAAAGAATTTAGCATGTCACGTTAGGTTGTTCAATCGACTAATTAATCAAAATATAGTTAGGGTAATATATGATGATCACTAAGTTCGGATTTTTTTACCGGTAAATAATTTAATTATTTTCATATTATATAGATTAAATTACATTTATTGACTTAAATAATAAATCAAATTAAATAAACCATTTTTTAATATAAAGCTTTACGCCTGTATGGATATTCTATAGAATAGATTGGCAATATAAGAAATAAGCTTCGCTAATGATTGCGGAGTTGCAGAGTTTGCGGAGTTTGCCCACCTATTCTACAGAACATCCAGTATATGTAGATTTTAGTAGCTGTTAGAGATTTAAATGAAGACCCCAATCTTAGCATAAGCCATTACAATAATTAGATAAAAATTAAAACTAATAATAAATTTAGAGAACTGCTAATACCATTTTCACTTTTGTTAATGCACTCCCAATATATTGCAACTCTAACTGGTTTAAAATTCTATAAATAGTATTTAGAAACAGTGTAAACTCATATAATTAATTAGTTAGCAGTTATTGTTTATAAAGTTTTTTAAAAAGATTAAAGACCAATTAGAGCTATACAAAGTGAAATTAACAAGTTTCTAAATTTAAGAATCAAAAATTTAGTTTTTTTAAATATTTAATTATATAAATAAAATAAATTTATTGGACGAAGGATGTGGTAATTTAATAAAGTTGGTAAGTTGTAGCATTCCCAAGTAGTAGAACTAAAGTTCAAATTCTATTGATAATAAAATTTGAATTTATAAAATGTATTTGGAAGACTGTATCTTATTGGATTAGCAACTGTGTATCTTATTGGATTAGCAACTATAATAGAGTTATACCAGTTGTATTAAGAGGCTATAGAACAAAGCATAGCAGAAGTTCGTTTTGATTGGTTGTTGAGATGCCCGGAAAAATTGTCGATCATACCCCGGATAGAGTACCGGCTAATCCCGGTAAAAATTTTACTACACGCGAACTTTTAAAAAATCAATAATTTAAAAAATGAATAATGCTCTAAAAAACATATATTATAATTTTAATAATTTTACAATATACTAATTCAATTTCATCCCAAAGTATAAACAAGTACTTTTTAAGCAATTTTCAACTACTAGAAAAATATTTATTATAAGTACTTATTAAATCAATTTCAACATACCTTATATTAAATAAGTATTAGCATTTGGCTAGCAATTATTTATTGCAAATATTATTTTAATATTATAATAAAATATAATTTTATTATTTATATTAAATATTTATAAAATACTTATTTATAATATTAATTTTATATTAAATAAAAATACTTAATTTGTAATTTTAATATATATAATTATAATAAATATATAAAATACTTAAAATATATTTTTTATTAATATTTATTTAATATACTATAACTTTTTTTATTTACATATTTGTTTTCGAAAAATAGATTTGTAAAAAATACTACAATATATAACTACATTTACATCAACTATACAAGAAAACTTTATATAATAATGATCATATACTTGTATTAAAGAAAATTGAATTCCAATAATTCTATATTACCAACTAATAACAATACTATAAAAAATATATGCATAAAATAAATTACATAGTATAACGTAAAATCAGCATACAATTATAAGTCAAACTAGAACCTTAATCATATTTTCTTTTGAGATTTATGCACCATTTATTGTAGCTTCTTCACCATCACCACTTCTTTCTCTACGTTACTGTTTACGTTTTACTTTCAATACTTTCTGTAAGCGCAAATCCTACATGCTTGTTAACAAATTTCTGTCAAAGACCCTTTCGTTTTATTATATATAGAAGAGTTTCGTAACTTAACTTTTAAAATCGATAATCTTGATGATCCATCAGGTAGAAAAATGTAGATCAATTGGTCAAGATGACCAGAATAGAATAGGACTGGATCAATTTGATCTGGACGGTTTGTAGCACCAATAATGAACATTCTTTTTAGCATTCATACCATCCATCTCAATAAGAATTTGATTAAGAACACAGTCACCAGCACCACCACCAACTTCTAAGCTTGATTCAAGCCTTCGTGATAGAATCAAATTCATCAAGGAACATCACACATAGAACAGTAACACGTGCCTTGTCAAATAAATCAAATACTATTAAGGACCTGGAGGACCGTAGAATAATACACCTTTTGAAGAAGACATAACAAATTTAATGAGTTTTAGGAATACTCTACAGGCTATTGTCCGGTCTCTTGAAGTTCTAATTTGACCTTTTTGAGTCCACAGATATCTTTCCATGTGACTGTTGGGACTTACGACAGCGTTTTTCGTAAAGCAGGTCGATTGGATACACCCAAGGCATACTAATAAATCAAATAAGTAAGGATTATATAAACATGACTTGTAAAACATTCTCAACGCTATTAGGGGAAATGTCAACCCATTACTTAAATTGAGGGCAAATAGTAAATGTTTGAACGAAATAAGAGTATTAAACTTTTTTTTTGAAATATATACTGTACATATATATCCGTGAAACTTGAATTGCCTTTTGACTTCAGGGTGAGGGTCGAGCTGCATTTCTGTAACTATTTCGTAGGAATTTTGAAATATAGGCGATTTTGAAATGATCGAACTTTAATTTAACAAATGAAATAAATAAGTATATAGATATAAATATAAATATGTTTGGCCAATATGCAGGCGGATTTTACAATTAATAAAGAAACCGGTTGTAGTAATACGAGTCAAAAAGTCGGTTGATCGAAAGTTGACCAAGAAAAAAATCAATCTGAGATTTTCGAAGAAATTAATCGTTAATAGTTATCTACCTAATAAGCTTTAAAAAAAATTTTAACTCATGAGATTCTATAGTTAACCAATAAAATTAATTAAAATATGTGTCAACTAACCGGAATTTAATCGATTACCGATTCGGGTCACTAACTGTTGAGCCGTTAAGTTCATCATTTTAAGGTGTTTCGAAATCAAGAGTGGGAAAGCCGAGCTATGTTGATGAATCAAAACAAATGTAGTAAAATATTCAGAATTATAAGACAATTACTGTTAAAGTTGCTGATTCTGTGATAATTTAAATAAAATTAGAAAAAAAAACTAAAATAAAAACTTTAATTTTAGCACAACGAATCACATTCACCAATAATTATTGTTTTGCTTGCAAAGATTTTGGTATAATATATAGAAAAAAAAATGAGATATCTACAATATGATAGTTGCATTAATATCTGAAGATTATTGCATAAACACTGAAATTACAGAAGCGTGGGTGGTATTTGCTAAGTAAAAAAGAACATAATAAAATAGTAAATAAATAAAATCAAAAAATAATCATTAAAATATCATCAATGCCCTAGCGATGATACTTACCATACCACAAGGCATTAGTCTTCATTGCTCAAAGTTCAAAGTTATGATTAGACACGTAAATAATAATAGTATATCTTTTTTGATCTATAATATGCAAAAAAACCATAATATTCGCATTTTATGAGACCAACCCGGGAGGTAATGAATTGCGACTTGATGCAAATACCGCAATTCTCTGAGAATTCTTCTATTTCCAGAAATTATAGATATCTAA